AAAACAACCGATCCAAACTTTCTGGAAACATCTAGGCTAGGTGGCTGCTTACAACCGGTACATTATTTTCAGCTGTTTGGGTCTGAAAATTTCTCCTCCTAGCGGTGCTTTAGAGTTGAATCACTTTTGCAATGTGGACAAAGATGGCACCAACCAAAAAAAAAAATATGTACACATAGTAAAGTAGCCACATAAAAATGCTAAAAGCACCATTGAGTCTTCAATCCCTGACACAGCAGGCCTACACAATGTTACTGAATACTGCCAATTCATGAAAACCTAAAAAATCTATGAGGTTCTGACACATAGCTCTCATATTGGATACAACATTCTGAATAAGACAGACAGGATGATGGAGACTGAAAAGCAGCTGGAATGGACTAACCTGAGTTTTAAGGGTCTCAACTGAGGAAGCAGGCTTGAAGCTTTCCTTATGTATCTGGTTAGCAACACCTTTGGGCGTGAAGACTTCTCAACTGTATTCGTAGTAGACAACTTCCCAGCATCCTCTGCCAACCCACATCACCACAGTGAGTTTGTATAGCAAACCTGTTTGATTTCAAGGTCTGAGATGGCAATTTCCAGCTTAGCTGGGAGAATAGTGGTATGTTACCCATATGTGTACCTAGACCTTGTGAAGAATAGCCAGAATCACAAAGCTGTGTTTATTTTCCCCCATTGGCCTTGATAACTCTGGAGGGAATCCCCAGTTACACTAAACTGGCCTAAACAAAAGCAGAGTTCTGTGCTAACTGAACCACATAATGGAGTCATCAGAGACTGGGTCAGATGAACTGCCACGGCGCTGGCCCTAATACTATTAGTAATACAAAATGCATGTGCAGTGGGTATGCATATGTTTGACACGTGATGTCACCGCACATGCGCCATTGTGGCAAAAATGGGAGGGGAGGTAGTATGCGGCATGAACTTTGAGGAGGGTCCCATGGAATCATTCCCACTCTGGGGGCCTTGAGTAGAGGATTGATGGGTCATGTAGAGCTATGAAAGTAATAGATATCCAGATAATTTTATCCAGATAATGGATATCTGGATAAAGTTACTATGATGACGTGTTACGCTCTGGGTGCTATATTCTTTTTGAGGTCTGTGGTTAAGCATACATATTGCATCAGTGTTTGGGTGTAGACATGGATCAAGCAGGGGAGGACCATTAAGACATACTATTTGAGACTACGAAGGAAATCATCTGTGATCATATAGGAGGTTCTTTCTCTTACCTCAGACATAGGCGAGTGCAATTTAGATGAGCTATTATGGCTTTTAGATACTTGCAAGACATGGTTCTTTCTCCTGCTCTTAAAGAACGCCAGATAAATTAACCCTTGCACCATATCCTGCCTGGCTGCTCAGACTGCCTTCACACCTGTGGCCCCCAGAGCAAGGTCAATATGGCTGCTCAGATCATGCAGATGTAGTAAGGTGGCTGCTGCTTGTGCACACACTGGTCGAGGACCCCCCCCCAGCTAGTCCTGTAGGTACCTGGGACTGGCAGGAAAGCAAAGAAGCCACATTTTTTGAGGAAGCCAAGTACGGATGGGAGTGGGCCTCCTGAAATGCAACAGAGGCAAACAAAACAAAAAAACACCATGGGAGAGGCCAGCAGAAATTAAAGGACCAACAGTAGCCTAGGCCTAAGAGACAAGGGATATTCAGTAGGGTGGGGGATGTAGAGGACACCCATTACTCAAGGACACGAGCAAAAAAATAAAACGATATATATATTTTTGGGATTGAGGCTTTATATATATATTTGGGCTTTATAAGGGTCCTCACAGCTATGGCCAGTGTCCAATCATATTGTCCTGTACTGTATGATCAAAAGGACTACATGCATAATCAAATTTATTTTAAGTGACCAAAGATATTTGTACAGCAATTTAAAACAAATTGATAATAGTCTCCCTTTATGGTACCCATTGATGTTAGATGGTCATTATCTTGCAGAGACCACAGGATAACTGCAGGAGAGCAGGCAATCAGCCGAGTGTTTGTTAATTTCTTTCCCACCCCACCCAAATTTAAGATAATGCCAGTGCAGGCCCCATACAGATTCTGCCCACACATCTTAGTTTCATCTTCTGTCTATAGTGGGGAAGCCATCCAAACGTTGAAAGACCCCTCTTGCACATACATGTTAAAATTACATGCATAGTTTGTAAATTCTGTAGTGATTTAGAAAGCTTTGAACTCTTGCATCACTAATGATTTCTATTTCAGGGGATGTCCAACTACAGTACAGCTTTCAGCACTGCAGATAATTACATTGGCGCTCATAACAAAACGCTCCATCGTGAATACACTCCATGGCCACTTGCAGTTGTTCCTAATAAATTATATGGCTGCAATTCAGAAATACTTTGTGTGTATAGTCAAAAGATTCATTCAGCGTTTTAGCAAACCTTAAAATGAGATGTGTGATGTAACCACTTCCGGGACACAATACTTCTATATACGGCGGCCCGCAGATGTGGTTAAACCAAAAACACGGCTGCCACTGCAGGCGTGTTCTTGATGTCATTTTAAACAGCCGGCATTGGCTGTTAATGTACAAGCGATCTGGCGTCTATACAGCCGCCGGTTTGTACAGTGAGACGATGTGTTCTCTCTCCTCAACCCCCCCTCCACCATGACGGGTCTGTCCGCAACCATCAGAGATCTCCCCTCCGATCACTGGACCCGGAAGTGATGTGTATTGCATCACTTCTGGTGTCACTGTACATTTTCCAGCTCTTAGAGCCAGGAGAAGCTGGTGAAGCAGACCTCTTCAGGTTCTTTGGGGTCCCTAGGTGACATTAGGGGTCTGAAAGACCATAAAGAGGACCTGTCACACCCTATTACAAAGGGGGCCTGTTATCCCCCTATGTGATCGCAATAAGGTTAGTGTAACAAAAAAAAAGTGTTTACAAAAAATAAATTTTTACAGTCGCCCCGCGTCGGTGTGCCTACGTGCAAAAACGAAAATTGCGCAACACGTTACATATTGCCGCGCACAGAGTGAGAGCAAGAATTCTAGGCCCATCAATCACTGTTGGCACTAAACTGATGAGCGGTAAAAGCTTTTAAAGCGTCCCCAATGGGAAATTTTGGGTATTGTAGTTTTTGCGGTTTCACAGGCGCACGCAATTTTAAGGCTTGACATGTTTGGTGTCTATTTACCCGACGTGACCCGGTCTTTTATATTTGACCACAACATTGGGTATTATATTGTTTGTGCACTAAATTTCATTTTAGTGCATTGTATCCTAAAAATTGCAATTCGAACAAAAAAATGCTATTCCACGGGGCCTCTGCTTTCAGAAAATATATAATTGTTTGGGGGTCTAAAGCTCTTCTCTTGCCAAAAATTCAGATTATATCATGCGACTGCAAACAGTAAGAAATTGCTCTGGACAGCAAGTGGTTAAGAGACTTTGGCCGTGGAATGATTTTTCAGGTTAGATATAGTGGGTGCCACCGCCTAGGATTTTCATATGTTACACTCTAAAATCTACAAAGCCAGAAACAAAAGTACATACTATGAGTGAAAATATTTATAAGTGTGAGTGTGTAAGAATGGCATCACTGGATGGACATGAATACGTTGGGCAGAAGTTTACACCAGTGGAGGCTAGAGGGCATACGAACACCAAAAATGAATGACTGAGGATTGGGAGAACGTAGTCCACATTGACCATTTTTAATTCCTGCTGTAACATTTATATAGGGCCAGAATAAAGTGAAGCTTTACAGCCTGAATATACAAACCCAATGACAAATTTGCAGGAAGTGTGATGTTGACCCCTAAGGAATGTATACAGTACCTTACTGAATCCAGTCTGTTCTGAAGGCAAAAGAGGCTCCTGCCCTGTGCTAGGCAGGTGTACCCAATAAAAAAAGAGTCCACTGAGTGCGTTGCTGCTTGTTACAATTAAAAATGCGTGTTCTGGTTGCCATGTTACGTAATTTTATTAAAAGAACTACACCCAAAAGAAAAAAAACCTTTGTATGGATCCTGCTGCGGGAAGTTGAGATTTAAAGAGACTAGTCTATGTAATCCTGTGCAAATAATGTTTAAAGCACCCTGGAAACAACTAAACCAAGGCAAAGCGTCTTCAAGGGTCCAGACTTTGCTTTATTGGCTCCATCCACAACAAACGCTCTGATTATAAGCTGGATTTATTTTTTAATATGAACCTGTACAGTCCACAATTAAAGTACAAGTAGCATGGCATTTAAAATCAGGAAGCAAACATAAGAGCGTGAAGCAAACTTTTTTTTCTGCTTTATTTATATTCAGGTAAAAACATGAACCTGATGAAGATTATTGCAGATCTGAGAAATCAGCACATAGAACAGGACATTGAGAACATACGCTTTTCATTTGTGTCAAAATATTTTCCTCCCCCCCCCCATCCCAAACTAGAACCAGAAAAAAAAAAATCTTAAAAAAAATATAATAATCTGAAGAGGAAAGAAAATTAAACAGGGCAACTGTATTTTTTTATACTTTTTCCTTTAAAATGTACATTAAATTGAAATGCTATGACTGTATCACAATAAATACAGGCCAGCCATGTTTCTTTTTAAGTTTTACATTTTAAACAAAATCAATGAAACAAAAAAAAAAAAGAAAAAACAAAAAAAAAGAAAGAAAAAATACCGCTCAGTTCTGTATATACTGTGTAAACAGTTTAATGGATCCTGTAAAAAGGCCAGTATAAACCATGAACTCTTCTCTGCTGCCTCACCGACCAGCAGCGCCATGCACTTCTGGAGAGCGCCAGCCAATCAGCACCTCTAGACTTCCAACTACGCTTAAGAGGCAGAGCTTCATGAAAACTAACAATGAGGCATCTCGCCATCACATCTGCACACGCAGGAACAAAATTGCACATAGAACGTTATCAGGGAGGCTGCGTCAAGTGAGAAAAACACTCAACTAAGTAACTAGATATTTATTTATTTTTTTCTTTAAAGAACAGGCTTTGCATTTTTTTCCATGGACTTGTAGGCAGAATCTGCATTGCAATGGGTACAACCGGTGGAGGGTGGCTTCTTGTGTATTTAGCTTGATGGATACACACAGACGGGGAATTTTTAAACTGCACAGCAATATTTATTTTGTTCCAACTTCAAAAACATCCCTTCCTTTTATTTTTTTGGGGCGGGGATATTGTTTTAACATCCCTCCTCTTTTAAAGTCACACGGCAAAGCAATTTAAAAACTTCACTCTTCAAATAAAGGATAATTTAAGCAGAAGAAAAACTTTCTAAACAAACATGTCATGGATTTTTCAAGCCTGATCAGTTTTAGGCGTCCAGGGGTCATTTAATGGAGCTAGCACATCTTTTGTCTGTTTTTTATTTATTTTTATTATAATTTTTGGATGAGCTTGTAATAATCGGTTTTCTCTACAACAAGGAGGGCTTTGCCGCCTTGACTCTGCTGATACTTTTAGAAAAAGTACTCATAATGTGTTTTCCTTTGTAGTGGGCTCCATGGTAGGTTCGTGGATCAGGAAAGGTGGAATGACTGTTGCCCTTCACGTGCAGCGATTAACAGTTTCTCGCGCATAATGTCAATGCTAGAATAGTCTGGCAACTTAAGGTAGTTGACGCAGGTCATAACGGAGGGCAGGAAATCGTCTGGGTTTTCGGTAGATTCAAAGGTCTTGCGGACTATGGTGAGAGGCGGGTTCAAGGCCCGGAAGCCTATGTACGAAACAGGAAGAATAGGTTGGTTAGGAATCGTCACAACAGCAAACTGGAATATGTAAAGTCTACAAAAACCTTGACAATGAACTTCTCTTATTTACCAACTTCCAGTCTATTAAATATACCATTGGAAGCATTTTGTTAGATCTGTTTATAAGAGCAAAAAATACCTGTTAATCTTGGCAGAAATTTAGAGATGTCCAGGGTACTCTGCCTATGTTATCTCAGAGTATATTTAGCCCTCACAGTTCTTATCTTAGGACTAAGGTCCTGTTCACACTAGCCCGTCCACTAAAATGCTGCATTGTGACAGCTCTGGTAGTGTGTGTTGTATCGCACGCTGCCAGAGCTGTCACAGTTTCCATTTAAAAAAAAAACAAACAACAAAAAACGTTGTGGCGTGTACAATGTGTACACTCCATTCTGGTTTCTACATGGCAGCATGGTCCACTGTACCCCCATGCAGCAAGATCTAATGTGCTGAAATAAATTGCAGCATGTTTGCATTTTATCGTAGTGCACCGCCCACTGTGTTGCAATGTGAAACCAATTGTTTTCTATGTGTCCTAGCAGAGACCTGCGTTGATTAGGTGTGGTACAGCGCAGGTCACCACATGTGAGAACGGGCCCTCAAAGTCAATTAGTGCCTACGTATAGGCATCTATCGATCTATCGCCTGGAATTGTTTTTTATTCGGGTACATGTGGGCTTCATCTACACATGTATATATAGCCTATTATATAGCTCCTGTGGTTAATCTTTAAAATGTAAACATAAGGAAAAGCCCAGCAAAGCATGAACACAGAATGACAGTATAGGGAAGATAGATGCTAGATCTGTTCATGTAGTACATGGACATCCTTGCATGCGTTTTCACTAGTGGTTTTAAAAGGAATCAGTTTGGATTCTGTATAAAGTCGCTTTAAAATTAAAAGAAAAAAGTAAATAAAAATGGTGCATTTAACAGAGTAAAAGTAAAAACCTGTTAATGTGAGTTATAAAAAAAACCAAGCATTTTTAAAGCATGTTCCCACAGAAAAATAGGGTACCATTTCTTTCAGTGAATACTAACAAGGTGGTGATCTGGACAGCCTTTGCAGACAAGCTTGCTAGCAGAAAATAATTGCTCTCGGTTTCATGAAATATTAATGATACAGCCAAATGGAAGGACACATCTTACCTCCAACTGGCAGTCTTGGGCTCCCTGTGACAAACTGTAGGAATAACCTCTGCTGTTCCTTATCAAAACTACTGAGAATTTCAAACAGGAATTTCACAGCTCGGCTGCAAAAAAATAAAAAGCATACATTGGTTACATTAATTACCCTCTGAGCATCTTTTAGCCACTGAAAGTCTGTTAAGTTACAAACCAAGCCAAACCAGAGTTCAGCAACCCTCAACACACCAGGTACTGAGGAACCACAAGCCTCAGCAGACATACAGACATGTGGGTCCTCACAAACTGGCAGCCTGCCGGCTACGCACCCTTGCTCTAAATCAATTATAAGAAAATAATGAATACACTAAAACTATATTTACACTAAAATGTTCCAGATACTAAGCATTGCTACTGACCTGTCATGTGTATATCCATGATCCGGCCTACAGCACTCCATCAGGGTTTTAACATCCCAAGGATCAGACTTGCTGCCACATAACAACTGATCCAACTAAACAGAAAAAAAATACACAAGTTACTGATAGTTCTACACCATTTCACAAACGTGAGTATACATGCAATCATTAAATATTAACTACCAAGGCCTCTAACACGGCAATATGTAAAAATGAGGAATGTGACAATTTCAGCGACATGAAAAAAATTAAGCAAACGCATCAGTTTTATTCATCACCAATACCAAGAAAAGGTGACTTTTGGTCTATGCTGTAAACCATTTTTAATTCTGACTTATGGAAAGCAGACACCACTTTATTGCTGCAGCATTTACATGATCATTTTGTACTCCTGGAACTCCTCAATATTTCATTGCTAGGGTTAGAAAGGATCTTGGCGAGTAATTATGGAAATGGTAGTGCCCCTCCTGTTATCCCAATTAGGAAACAATGTGCAGAAAACCAAATGTATACTATTCTTTAAATATTTATACAAGTGATAACAGTATTTAAATGATTAAAACAACCCGACACGAGTAATACAACAAAACCAAAAACAGCATATTACAAAGACACCAAAACCTTCTAGGTTAATGACCTGCTATGTGTAAGGGAGACTTGTGCACCCAGGCATACATACTGTACAGAAGAAAAGCAAGTAGTAATACATACCTCCTCTGGGTAAAAATACTGCAGGTGGTTAAGTGGGAAGACTGATTCAAAACCATCTCTGAATGAGTCAAACTGCCGGGAGACTCCTTCATTCAGCGCCCAGTAAATAACAAGCTGAAAAACAAGGCGACAGATTACTGGGATCATTCAAGAAATAAAATACATCCAAATCTGTGCATGGATCCCAGCTGGAAAATTCAGATAGTACCCACACACATTTCAATCCACTTAGATTTGCTCATGTGAGGACATTCTGCATTTGCTTGTTTTCCTTTTTTAGCAGAATTAAAAAGGCAGCCAGGGCCGTCCCTATATTGAGGTAGTTTGAGGCGTTCTTTGGGTCACATGGTGGGGAGGAGGGTGCCCTTTCCAGCTAGAGCGTCCCAGGCTGCTAAGAGCTCTTAGCAACCTGTGACACTCTGGCTGGCGTTCCACCCAGCTCAACGATGTCACTGATTGCCAAGAGCTGGTTGGGCCATGCATAGTCAAGTCTATTAGACTAGATTCTGTTGACCTACAATTTATGGGTGAAACAAGTCTATGGAGTTAAACATCTCAATGGTAGTCTTAAGATGGAGAGAATTCATGGGCACATCAATACCACAGCATTCTTTTCTAGTGCCTGCTCACCTTCCCTTTGTGTAGCAGCAACCTACTATTACTACTGAAATATACTTTCTGGTGCATTTATTGAATCATTTTATAAAAACACATTCACCGCTGGATTCACCAATAGCTATAACAAGCTAGGGGTGCCTTAGCTCGCCAAGCTCAAAGTGTAACTGAAACACAATCTTAGGGTGTTGTGACTCATTAATAATTTCCTACGGTTTTAAATGCGTTGCTTGTGCTGCTAAGGACCGAGTGCAGAGCTCTCATGGGCTTCCTAGAACAGAAAATAGATATATCAAAATATCCCACACGCTCAACTCCATTCTAATAAGCTTCATAAAATGGTAAAATCAGTAGGTTACGGTTAGTCATTTCTACCCCACATTCACCATGGAACAGTCTCATGTCGGTCACACTTACCCGTACATACTCATCCAGATTGTGAATAGTGACCGGTATGTCTTTCCCTCCTTTCTTCAGTTCGATATTGGGAAAGCCTGGCAGTGTGAAATCCAGCCCCAGATCTTCCACAGAGCAGCCATTCATATTCAAATTTTCTAGTGCAAACTGCAGACTCTCTTTGGTCTATAAACAAATAGAAATATTTACTTCGTTGGCAACAAGTACATGTAATGCATCTCTCCCAATCATAACACAAGTGCTACCTGGTGGCAGAGCAGAATGTAGTCTCCTTCCTTATTAGGTTTCGGGGGAACTATTATAATAATGGTGCAGTAGGCAAGAAATACTTCATGGTCCAGGCCCATGCTACCAGATCCGTATCATTGCTCTTTAAAGTGTATTTCCACTTTGACCGCAAAATTGGCATAACACCTACCTGAAAATTTGTTACATGTTCCTATTCTCATAGGAAAACTTAAAACAAAACAATCTGCAGCTTCCATTTTAACTTGCTTTTTTCTGAAAAACTCCAAAACTGATTTTCTTTACTCTGCTATGTAATGGTAAGTAGGGGGCCAGAGAGTTATTAGCCCTGTGTATACTGTGCTGGCAGAGGTCATCAGCTGTAATGTAGATTTGGACATGGTCTGTCCTAACAGAGTTTAAAATCTCAGGGCTTGTGTTGTAAATAGTATGCTGATGAGAGGAAAACAGAGTCTGAGTACAGAGTTTGGCTTAGGACTACTGGAGACCCCCCCCCCCCCATTTTGTGCCAAGAACCAAACGCTGGTGCAGACCCAGCTGTAGGAAGGAAAAGACTTATCCCACAGGGAAGCTCTTGGTGTGGAATCCCTGACTCACACAAAGTGAAGTCTATGTACAGTAATAGACCTTATGGGAAATACTCTTCCTAGCTGACAGCATTGTAGGAAACAGATTCAGAGACTCCCCTGACACGAAAAACCCGTTTAAGACAGCAGCTGATCAAGGATGGCAGTCAGTCCTGAAAAAAGAAGATCCTGACAATCTGACAAACCCCCCAAAGTGTATGCCAGGAGTCTTACTAGGTTGGCATACCACATTGGCCTGGCCCAGTTTGGAGCAATGAAAGATCACCAGAATGCCCTTCTATCCTGAGAAGCAGACAAGGAAAAGGTTCAGGGGGGTTGGGCGACAAGGTGGCGCTGGATTTGGGGAAAACAAACATTAAGGACCTATGGGTTAGGGGTGGTTCCCAGCAGACAGCTGAAGCAGACCTTAAAGAGCCCCTTTCACACAAGAGCCAGCAGAGACTAAATCCTGCTGTGCAGTTGCATACGCATAGAGAGCCCTAACCAGAGACAGAAGCCAAACAAAACAGCAAGCATTAAGACACAAAGAGTCCCCCAATAGCCCAGATATACCACAATAGCAAAAGGCAAAAAGGAGGCTTGTAACAGGGCTGCAACCAGTGCCATGCACTAAAAATACATGGTGGCCACAGAGAAAATTGCTCAGAAGAAACCGGAAGAAGCACTAGGGAACATATGCGCCAGGGTAGGTGGAGCTGCACACAAGAATTCAAAACAGCAGTGTGTGTGCAAGCAGAATTAACCAGAGTCCATACACCTCAACTTTCCCATTACAATCTGACCATAGTCTGCCTGCATTAGCACACAGTATGCATTACGATAGAGTAAAGTCCATGCACAGCCGGCATTAGCATAGAGTGTACACGGTTGTAGAAAAAGTATGCCATGTTCACACTGAGGACCGGGTATACACAATGACGAGGGAGCATGGAGACTGCTTCCCGGCTAATCAGGAAGCCAGGTGGTGAGTCATTACACGCAGCCTGGCTTCCCTAATGGGACTTCCAGTATCGGTCTTGCAGAGTCTCGAAAAAAAATATCGGTACTCATATTCGATACTGAAAAAACGGTATCTATACATGCCTACTAATCAAGCATAGAATGAGAAAAAAGCTTAAGCTTCTGTGCTATTGTTCTTAAGGCACAGCTCAGGCCATAAGGAGTTAACTTTAAAAGTACATCACGCTAATGCATTCTCACGTACAAATAACACCATGAGGTGCGTCATCAGTAGCCAGGGAGAAGGAGGGGGCAGGATAAACAAAAGAACAACATTTCCCTTGAATGGCCCGCAGTAGAAAAATAAGGAAGGCTCCCCCATGTGGCCAACTTTCAAACTACATAAAGCAAGTCTCAGAATAAAAAATACATAAAAAAAAGTTCACTTTTATAATAAAATTATGTGCAGTTAAGGGGCCTCATTAATTTTCAAACTGTGGTGCTGTTTAAAGAACTGCAGAAATATGTTTTATTAACTCTTGCAGTGGGGCAACCCCCGAACTGCAAGGGTTATGTGCTCGTTTGCGTCTAGGTGCGAACATAAAGATATACTATACTCGCCCAAAGCTCTGAGCCGGCCAGCTGTCATGTTGCTCCCTCCAGCATTGTAATCTTCCTCAGTGTCCTCAGGTCTATACACTGTGTACAGATTTTATGATTTACAGGACCTCAGTCCACTGCAGAGGGGGAAGAGACGTTGCAAGGACCGGTCTAAGGAGCCAGCTTGGAGCATCGGGTTAGTAACTGGGTTTTTTTTTTTTTTAAGGCCCACTGCAAGGGTTAAAACATTTTTCCTGGAGACTTTCATTAAATTGAGCTTAAAAGACGTAACTGTAGGTCAACGCAGCTTCTGCAAAGCTTAGCACTGCTGTGGCAGGGAGAGAGGGCTCAATGCACCTGTGTGGACTTGTTGACAGAGGGAGAGTGCTCATTCTTGTGATGTGGGTGCATTCAAAATACTGTCCATCCTAGCTTATATGCAGCATGGTGCAGATCAAGGAGAAAGGTATTTTTTTGCAGAAGCTGTTAGACTACAGGTATGTCCGTCAAATTAACACTCAGTGCTGTTGAGAAAAACTGAGCTTAAACAAATGGGACCCCTTGACCGCACTGCAAACTACATTAAAAAGATGAACTCACTTAAAAGTAAAAATAACTACAGATGTTACTGTAGAAGATGCCATATAGGTATTTAAAACAGAGGATCAACAAACTAGTGTAGGGCTGCCAGGAACTCACAACTGTGACTTGCAGAGATGCAGAAAGAAGGCCAATGAGAAATCCTCAGACATACAGCTGAAGAGTGGAGTCCTGGGTGAACCGAATCACTGCCAACCCCAAAACGGTCGCAGAGAGAACACCAGCATGGATGAACTTAGAACCTTTGCTGTAGTTGTCTGGAGAAGCTTCCAGAAATTCGGGGTTGTCACAGAACACCAGTATAAACTGGGAAAACCTGTGCTTGGTGGCTGACTGGAGGGACTTCAAGGATTTAACTTATCTGGAATGAATCTCCCAGCAAGCTGTTCACAATAGAAAAGCTTCCAAATGAACAGAGAACAGCATAACAGAAGAAAACCTGTCCACTCTCCTAGGGACACAGCAAAAAAAACCGGAGGCATGATGGCTGTGGATGGGGTTATCCCGATCTACCCAACGGTTTTTGTTACCAGTGTATTTCTCCTGTGAGCAGCAGTGTAACCCGACAGTCTAAGAACTCCTGTGTCCCTCAATGGATAAGAATAGTTGTTTTTTTGCTTTCTACATCTAAATATATCTGTTGGATAAACATCTAAGTACCTCCCAATCAAGCTGAAGGAAATCTGTACTGAAAAATGAACAGTTAGTGGTAGGAGAAACAGATTCAATTAACCATCCTGAAATGTTTTTTTATTGATAGAGAGACCCATTTCTCATCATTTAATCTACAGGATGCTATAGGCCCAGGCAGTAGTTACCTGTGACTTGTCTAGTTCCAGTCTCTTCTTCTGCCTCACTATTTCTTCCAGGTGGTACACAGACTTTGCCACAACAGGATCCACATGGGACAAATCATAGGAGGCCAAGGATAATTCCTGCCGTAACATCCACTTATAGAAAGGGAGTCCAAGAGGAATGTCCACCTATAGAAAATGTGTTGGCTTATTAGACTTTTAAACATTGTATAAACCAGGAAAGTATATGAAATATAGAAACGCAACCCGACTTCCCCTCAGTATAGTTAAAACCAGGGGAATATTTAAAAACATATTTAAAAACACTGAATGAGACATTCACCAAATATTTACTGCAGGTGAATATTCCTGATGTGCGTATTCTACATTTCAGGGAATTATTGGTTTGGTGAAAGTCACATTTACATCTAATACATACTCCCTTTACAATTAACTTATGTGGTGCTGTAAGCAATTGCAATTCAAAACAGTTGTTTTTTTCTAGACTTTGCTGACGCCATCTGGTCAGGGTATATAATCTGGGCTGCAGCATGTCTGTCAGCATTAGTGCTGAAGATACTATTCTCCTGTTTGTATGATCAATTAATGGAGAAAGTGTTGCTACTGCAATTTGATGCAGTGAAAAATGTAAGGTGGACTTACATTTCACATTATTAAAAAGCCAACCACTAATATATTTGGATATTCCTAAAGCTTAACTGCATCCGTACATATTTAATCAAATTAGGTTATCTTTAAGAAAAAGAAAAAGGATTAAATGTATTCTTTAAACATGTACATACCTTACTAGCAAAAGTACCCAAGTATTTAAAAGGGACACTAAACTCAGGAGTTAAAGCTTAAAAATGCATTCAAGTACCTTCACTATTAACAATACTGGACCTTATTTGTGTATCACTCGGCTGTAGAGCCTCAAATCATCTCTGAATTGGTGCTGACACTGTCCTTCCTTCTGGGCGACTACTTTTGTTCCCCAGGGTCCCTGTGTGTGTTGTAAAGTAGTCACTACACCAAGCTCACTCTTGTGATGGACTTTACGTTCAATACAAATTAGTAAACTGAATGTGAGATTGTAGTCCATCCCAGGAGCGAGCTTGGAGTGGTGGCTACTTTACAACACACACAGGCGCCATAGGGAACAAAAGTAGCCCCCCTCCAGAAGGAAGGACAGTGTCGGCACCAACTCAGAGATGATTGAAGATCTACAGCTGAGTGATACACAAAAAGTTAAATTTTTTCTTATTTAAGATACTTGAATGCATTTTAAGGATTTCTTTCCCGAGTTTAGTGTCATCTTCAATCAGCCTTGAGCAATACCTTGCATAGTGGCACTCAGCCTGGGAGAGGAAGGTCAACCCTTCAAGCAATCAGGACTCTATTGCTCATCACAGTGCTGTCAAGTGGGGCTTCGTTTGTCCTTGACATGCATTTGAATCACAAGTCTGCAGATTACAATTTACTTTAATTACATTGTGGCTGACTGTTCTGAGGCTGCATTTAAGCTGCTTGTCATCACTTTGGAAGCAGAAAGTCCTATGGAGTTCAGCTTGCACTGAAGGCAAATAAAGCCCCTTTTTTGTGTTTTAGCAAACATGTTTGAGTAGCGCTGTATTTGAGTGCAAAATGCAGCATTCATGAACAAGGCCCATCTACACAAGCCTTAAAGTGGACCTTTACCCACATCTTCAAAATAAGAACAAAGGTACCTTTAGAAATGTTTAGTAATGACAATCTACAAACACATACCGTGTTTCCCCGAAAATAAAGGCACTGTCTTATATTTTTTTGGGCTCAAAAAAAAAAACACACTAGGTCTTAATTCTTTTTTTTTTTAATGTACAACAATCCTCACTTATTCATGTACAACAGTCTGCATGTATTCATGTACACAAATATGGTGATCAGGGCAATCAGGGGTGCCGTACCTTTCCAAGAGCAATTTGCTAACCAATCGCTTGCCAGAATGAGCGAAGCGCACTTTCACTATAGATTCCTCACAGGCAGAGTGCATTTGGAATCACTCCGCCTGTGACAGGAGCTGACACTATAGAGGAGGCACCGACTTATGCGGCTCTGCTCCCTCCGGTGCCGTCTCGCTTCCTCTAGCGCTGGCTTCGTTGGCACACCTGATTCTCTCCTGCGGCTCTTCAAGTTCCCCCCTTATGCCACCACCGGCCCTGGGAACGATTATAACTAGGTCTTATCTTCAGGGTAGGTTTTATATTTTAGCAATTCCCAAAAATAGTACTAGGTCTTATTTTTGGGGTAGGTCTTATTTTCGGGGAAACAGGGTACTTCTAGATAATTGCCGGCTTCTTATTCTTTGCATACCTTATTTTTATTTTCCTCCCCGTTCATCTCACAGTGGCCATTTTTACTAAGGGCAGATGAATCCATCTCCCTTTACTTCCTGGAACTCTGGCACGTGTGACTAGTACATGTGACCATGAACATCATCTCAGGGGAGGAAAATGCCTTTCCCTGAGATCATGATTACAGATGATATTTTGCAGCAATGCTCTGATGTCAACTTCCCAGAATGCAATGCTTCAGCATGATTATATAAATGTGTGCCAAAGTGGACAAAAAAAAAGAAAATGTAAGTAAAATAAAAATATGTTTGTTCAGCTAATGAATGTAAGATACTTTCATATCAGCATGCAGAGCTGCATGCTGATGTGATTTTTTTTTTTTAGTGAAATGGGGTAAAGGTCCACTTTAACTCAATGCTTCAAAGAGGAGAAAAAATGGGGGGTATAGTCTCTGCAGGGACCATCGGGATCTGGCTGTGCTATCTGAAGCTCAAGACTGGCTGAATACAATTTTAAATCCCCTGGCAGGTAAACCGTTCACATATTTGCTTTTTCAGCTCTGTATTTAGTCTTCTGCCTGGCGTTTAGCTCTATAGTACCTTAATCTACAACTCATTAGAATTAAAACCTTAGATAACAAGGATTATAAATGCAATAATAATGTCAATATTAGTACAGTTAATTAACTAAACATCAGCAAAAAAAGATAGGAGAAAGAGAGCAGAAATCTTTAAACTTTTCAGTTCCCTGTGTCCTAAGGTCAGGGCCCATTTCCTAGCATTTCCAGGTCTTGCAGTATATGGACAATTAGGAAATTAAAATGATAATCTAAAAAAATGGTATCCTACCCTCTAGCCATTCTGTAGTCCACATGCCTAATACAAATAGGTACTCACCAGTCTGAAGTCCATAATGGCTTTAGCCATTAATTTGCCAAGAAACCGGAACTTCATTTTCACCTTAGCGATATGTGCTGGCTTAGCCGTCCGACCGAAGGGAAGAGCAAACAGACCCTGCAGGTTGTGAATGTACTTGGTCCCTTCTTGGCTTCCTAAAAACAGCAGTGATGTCATACAGAAGAACAGGCCCATGTTACCATAAGCACAAGAGAATGACACTTTAAAAGAACTATGTACAGGTAAACAGAATAACATCCATCCGTACAAATCAGCAGGCATGATTTTACCAAGACAATGTAACACTTAAAACTCAACACTTAATTAAAAAGATATAGCCTTGGTAACCATTTAAAGGTGGCGCACTGCCCAACACAACACAACACACACACACACGGAACTTCTTTATAGTGGTACATGGATTGGTTCTCTTTCTCATTGAGATTTTATTTAGGACTGTCTAGGTGGGATTAACACCAGCAGTACATGAGGTGTTCACCTTTAGGATTAGAAAGTGTAACTTCTTCTCCTCTCCATAGGCCGAGGTCAGTTCTTTGTAATTCCTGAGATACAAGTGCATAAAATTCTAAAGTGGGTCCCAGTCCAGTCCCAACCTAAAAAACAGAATATAAAAGTTTAAATAGCAACACACTGAATCCAGATATTAGACACAATACCAATGGGGAGCTTACATCAAAGTTATGACAATAAATGCCACTTATTTACCATACATGCAACAAGACCCATATGATAAAGGCATGGGACCAGAACTTACTTCATTCTCATACTGAATCTCCAGCATGGCCCGTGAGCTCCCCAAGTCCTGCATAACAGATTCTGCCTGCTTTAGAAGCTCATCTCTATTCACAGTGCGCTGAAAGAGAAAATACACGGCAAAACACTATTAGCTGGAGAAGCAATGTCAAGGGAATAAAAAAACAAAAATGGGCTTCAACCAATAAATGATAAGACAAAACCGTAGGCAGAGAAAAAAAAAAAAAAAAAAAAAAAAGAAGGAATCAAAACCAGGAGGTGGAAAAAACACCGGAGACTGCAGGAAATGTGCTGTGGAATTAAAAAAACGTAGCCTGCCATCACTGATCTCTTAAATGAACGCTTCTTGGTATATCAGGGGTGGCAAAGTTTGGCCCTCCAGCTGTGGTGAAACTACATGCATTTTTTTCTGGGTGTCACATCTGTGGTTGTGAGAATTTTGCAATGTTTCATGGGATTTGTAGTTCGACAACAGCTGGAGGGCGGGAGATTGCTCACTCTGGTAGAATAACAAGAGGACATAATCAAAGCCTACAGGATTTTGCCCAGCCTGCAGACAGTTAAGTTGAATAAACCCAGAAAATCCCCCGTAACTCACTTTTTTCCTGTCCAGTCTTGGGGCCACTCTGCTGTCCTGAGAATCTGATTGGTTAATCTCAGGGTTTGTGTCCAGCAGCCTCTGCATTGCCCGATCTCTGTCAAATGCAGTCACGTAGAACAACATTTGCCGAGTATCAAATGGAAAAAAAAACGGACTGAAAAGAAGAACACACAATGTTTAATGCACTTGATCACTTACCTTCATTTAAATTCCTACTTAGATGTCATGCAGTAAAAAGACTGCTGTCCAGACATAAAAAAATTGCAAGACCTATTAACCTGAAGCACGTGGGTACAAAATGAAAACATTGATTTTATTAGAATTTAGAAATCCTTAATAGAATAGCTAAATGCTACTGCCTCCAGTTGCAATTCCATCCACTGTGTCTGACATTGATATGTTCCTGATGCAAGAAGGAAGAGAAGGCTGTAAGGGACTGTGTACACAGGACAGCCCATGACACCTTTCATACATCCCTCTACAGCCACCTCGCCCCCTCTCCTACTGACATACATCACTCAGGTGACATACATCCCTTCATGCCTATTTGACCTACATCACTACCTAGCCACCTTGCCTCAATGCCACGGTGACGCATTCCTGCCCCCCTTACTGACAAGGACACCTATGTCACTGCTTTATATCAACTGATCATAACTTACCTCTGCCCAGCAAACAGTATTCACCTCCTTCACCCTCATTTATCCTACGGTCCCAGCTGACCTTTTATTATTGAATCTAATGGGCTGCAAACGCATATATCCAATATAAACCTAAATACTGCTTGTGACCCCACACAAATTCCTGGCAGCTTTGCAGGCAATAGAGGTACACGATCATCTTTGCTTATATTATTCAATAGACTAAAATGTTTGTATGATTATGCCAAGACAATGAATCCACACTGGTGTGTCTGAAGCATCATAAAATAATTTTGAAGGGAGTTTTCTTACCAGCTTTTCCCCAGCTCTGTTAACCAGGTGGGAATGTTTCCCGTCATGATGACCAGAGGATCCTGCAGCTGCCTGTTGGCTTTTGCAGTCAGTTTACTATTGATAAACTCCACCGTGGGGATTATCTCTTTGCAAAGGGCATTCTGGAGAGCAATGATAAAAACAAGTATGTTAGCAATAAAAACTATGTAAATACAGAATATGAATGATTAGTCCTAATTGATCCAACTGCAAACTCCTCATTTTTCTGATGCGAGTCCCAAATGTTCATTTTCTTTTTTAATTATTTCTTATGGGTTAGGCAATCAGTTACTGGCCAACAATGGCACATTTGCACCATACGCATGTAAACAGCACAAACGTTCCATACGTACAAGGTACAGACTTACATCATACAAATAATACATAGTGTTCAAACTTACATCATACAAATAATACCAGTATCGGCTAATGGCATGTAGAACCCGCAGAAGGATCACCACATCAAGGGATGGGTCATCAAAGGTGATATTTTCAGGAGGGGTAGGTATGAGGTAATTATCTAGAGGGTTAGAAACTTTTGGACACATTCCATCTGAAAAGGGAAAAAAATAAAAAAGCAAGCAGCATTAAGGACACAAAATGAAAAATATTTTAAATGGTTGAACAACCCAACTGTTCTTTTCAAGTACAAACACTTGAGGACTAATCATGCTTTACTCTGCCTTCTTTAATAAAAATTATGGAGAAATCACTTGACCACAGATTAGCAAGCTTAAAAAGTGTAATCAGCCCCCAAGTCTGACTAAAGCTTAACAAAATTACCATGCCACAATTCATCATGTTTCTTTGAATTCCTAGGGGATGTTTTGGTTGGCGCAGTTTGGGCTCGACCTCGTTTGCCTCCTACGGTGTCCTTTGTGCTTTCTTCCTCCTCTCTAACTGGCTTGTACCTGTAAGCAATAAGGGAATAGGGTCTGTTCCTTTAAGTGTTGGGGGAGGGGGAGGGTTGGAGTACATAATAACTAATCAAATGTAAGCCTTCATTTGCTATCAAGCACAGAAGAACAGACAGTTGGTTACAAACAGTAATGTCTTCACATTTCACTATTCTCAGGCACAGCAGTCTCCTTAACTAGCATTGCACGTTGCTGAAATCACATACCAAATAGTGTGTGTCTTGGTCCAGATGCCAGCTCTTCCTAATGGATTACTTTCATCATCTGTAGATTCCCTCTCCTCCTCAGTCTGAATGCTATACTGTCTCACAGCTTGGTAAACAGTCATGTTGTAAGGCAGCGGGTGATCTCCAATATAAAACTGGAGCCTGTGCCTTACATTTCCTGAATTTAAGAACTGAGCAGCCTGCAGATCAATCAAAACACTATGAAAGTTAGCCATCAACAACACACAAGTCAATAAGTCTCACGAGAGAACAAAAAAAGAGAAGACATCCAGCATTATGTTACAACGAAAAAGCTGATATTTAAAAGGGAATGTATATTGTACAATCATACTCATGTACTCGTATTCTAAGGAAGGCGCAAATGGGCAAAGCACAAGATTGCTTTAATGCAACTGTCAGTGTGACTAACATTTTGACATGCTTGTGCTTCCATGTTTTTGCTGTTGCATTAAAAATGGAGATATGTAGATCAATAAAGAGAGCCCTTTGACTCAGACTCGTTCAATGTCTCTGTTGAGAACTGCATTGTTCTCAGTGAGCTGGCTGACTCACGCTTGCATTGTTAGAGAGCAGAACATACCCTACTGTATTGTATGTCGCACTACGAGGTAAACCCCACGTATGTAATAAGTATGGTCTCCCATTTAGGGTGTAGAAATTTAAAATAAATAAATACTTGTCCAAAGCCTAAAGTGGGGGCCCAATCTACTTGTTCCCCATGACAATCTACTTGTGATTCAAAAAATCATTTAAACCAAAACTGTATTTAACTGTGCTAAGAAGTGCTGCTCATTGCAAGCTAATCATTTGTCACACAGTGAAATGGGGGCAGCACTCCGTGCACGCACACACAATGTCCTACGCACTCGTTTATTCACATGCAGATGGTGGGGGCAGCAGGGGTTGGCTTTAATTTTGTTTTCATTTTTTTTTCTTTGATCACTTTTAAAATTTTGATTGTTAATTTTTACTTGTTTTTTTTTTTTCCCCTTATGAATTTTTATTTCTTTTTAATTAAAAAGGTTAAATGTAGAACTGCATGTCCCGGGCGTCGGACGATAGGAATTCCACAGCCCTGCACATATATAGGACTACAATACTAAACAAAAGTAAAAGGATGGATTAGAGTGATATCCAGATTCTACTTTTGTCGATAGTAACATGGTACGATGCTGCTGCTAATACTATAGTGTGTATGCATCATACACACAGAATATATACACACACTTTCTTGTTTTAAATATGAACATACATTACACCAAGCTAATCATTTACACATATAATATTAACAAAACAGAC